AGCCTTGGATGGAAACTGGTCTACCGCAGAAAGAAATGGCAACCTACCGCGGGAAAAATATATTGCCTCGTCAGTCATGTATCGAAAGATACATAATCGCCTAAGGGTCTATCACGTATGGCACATAACTGACTGATATACATAGCGGAACCGGAGCTGCTCAATCTGTCAGTCTCTAGTCTTGATAAAGTCGAAAAGCGATTACGCGGCCTTGTGGGTGATTAAATATCTTCTTCACTACAACCCTTTTCTCATAGGCAAAAAGTTGCAAGTCTCTCGGTATTCTACCGCTATTTGGAAAATGTTTTCACGTGTGACATTCATTACCTTCACTAACTCTAAAGTTTCTAGTTAAGATACTCCCCACCCAAAGATACCACATATACTCTTTGTTTTCCATTAGTGAGAAGCAAGTTCCACTCGAACAGCTTCCTCCCACGGACGGGTAATTTTTTTTTTTAACCGACTCCGAAAGGGACGATCTATTCAAGTCGAGGGTTAACCGTTGTCTTTCAAACATGTCATCATAAACTGCCCTTCTTATCACTTACTCTTTCCGCTCACACAACAAACAGCTTCAGTAAAGTTCTACCTAGAGTGGCTCTTAGGTCTTGTATTGGGTAAACGTTAGTAAAATATATATATATATATATATATATATATATATATATATATATATATATATATATATATAAACGAAAACCGTTTGTACTTTTTTTTCTTCTGTGCACTTCTGTTTAAACGTGTCGATGAACGGCTTTTCTTTAACAAAAGGGGTTTCATTTAAATTGCTTCATATCAATATTATTCTATCGTTTTGCCTATTCAATGAGCATGTCCCATGATAGGTAACCATGTTAGATTCACAAATCTTTCTTCTTGCTCCTTCGAATTCACTGGACTCTTCACAATAGAGATATGGGTTTTTGTACACAAAACACCTTCGTAGCAGACAGCCCCTACCAACTACTCCTCCCTCCCCCCCCCTCTCTCTCTCTCTCTCTCTCTTTATTTACCTATCTTTGTGTATATCTATATATGTGTGTTAACCTAGCATATATTTACACACACAGACATATATATATATATATATATATATATATATATATATATATATATATATATATATATATATATATATATACTTATATCGATGCAAATATATATGGCGTTAGGTCACATAAATGGATATATATAAATAAATACGAACGAATTCCCATATATACAAGTAGATTTCTTTTTACCTTACGTTTATATATATATTAGTAAAGATATATATATATATATATATATATATATATATATATATATATATTGTGTGTGTGCGTGTCTGTATTACCTTTACAGATGTAAGCATAGATATATAAATAGAGATGTACATATATACATAAGTATATATATATAACTACAGGTGTGATTTTATACAAAGCAATTCATATATTCCTATATATATATATATATATATATATATATATATATATAAGTACATTTGTTTTTATAAACGTCTAACTACATATAAAATATATATATATATGTGTGTGTGTGTGTGTGTGTGTTACCTTTGTAGATGTAAGCACACACACACCCACACACACACATATAACTGCATGTGTGGCACTATACAAACCAATTCATATTCCTGTATATACATATATGTACGTACATTTGTTTTTAAATATATATATATATATATATATATATATATATATATATATATATATATATATATATATATAATCATAATACTCGTTTTGGAAAAAACCTCAGATAGCTCAACTTGTAGATATGTCAAAACAAATCGGTAGCCGAGGAACAAATTGGAAATAAAAAAAAAAGAAAGGAAAACATTTGAACAGGGCGAAATAAATTGTCCAGTGCCTTAAGACTTTAGTCCAATGAAAAAAAAACAAGCGAGTAGTAAGACTAAAACGTAGAATGCTAAATACGCTACTTTGAAGATCCGTTTAGCTGAAACCTAGATAGGTTTTCCTGGCTCTTTAGGATTTATTATATATATGTATATATATATATATATATATATATATAAAAGAAAGAACAGTAAGATATATAATCCGGTGTTCTTATAGATATTTTAATTTTTACAAAATAGTGCTCAATGTAAATTTACAGAGCATTAATATTATTTGAAAAATACATCCCAAACCCCTACCAAAACGTAACTGATACATCAAAATACAGCGATAATGAACACGCAAACACCCCTCGTCTGGTTGAATTGGATTTCTCTGTAACCTTGGAAACGTGAATTATGATTTTTACTGTGTCTTTAAAACCCAGTAATTTTAAAAGTTACTCCAAAATTCGCTTGAGGGTGAAATGGAACTAATGCCTTTAATTTAATTACAAAATTAAATTCCGAGCTTTCAGCTTCCATTTTTGAAACATGGTTAGAACTGGGTAGAAAAAAAAAAAAACATATTTTAAATCAATTATATATATATATATATATATATATATATATATATAAAATTTTTATGTATATGTTTTCTATAATTTTTAAATGTAAGCATATATGTGGATGTAGATATACACATAAGTATAGATAAGTATATAACTACATTTATTTTATAAAATATATATATATATATATATATATATATATATATAGATAGATAGATAGATAGATAGATAGATAGATAGATAACATTTGTTTCTGTGTGTATAATAATATATAGACAAAGGAGTGCTGTAAAGTTTTCATTCACACCATGAATATATTCTCCAAAAATTAAACGAGATGATTTGATTAGATGTTGAGAAGTTTTTAAGACAACATTTCAGTACTTCTTAGTGCACACTCACCTGCAATTTATTTACCTACAAAAACTATATTTGTCTACCCACCCGCATTAACTATTCATTTTCACTAGCAATGAAGCAGCTACTTTGTAGGACCACCCAGAACCTGGTTATCACATACATCGCCGTTGACATTCTTCATCACCTAACTCTTTACATATCCACTGATTGGTTTCCGTAAATGTTCAGTATTCATCGACGAATATCACACCTCGACTTCATATTTTCATGCACAGTACAATCTTCAGGTGTTGAACCTGTACTCAGCACCTGATGATTGTGTTTTGCATGAAAATCTGAATCATGCTACCAGTGAGGGATAATATGTATATTTATTAATATATACTTTATAGCTCTGTTATATTACATCGAACACTGTTTTATTAACACCAGTACTATATGTGTGATATATATAAATATATATATATATATATGTGTGAAAAGTGTATATAAATATAAATATGTATAATTATTTATATATTATATGCGCGGTACTTATTAGAAAGCGCTCAATATCAGAGATAGAGCTAACCATCTATCCAACCAAATAAATATATATATATATATATATATATATATAGAGAGAGAGAGAGAGAGAGGCAACCACAGACAGACTGTTTCGCTGTATCACAGCTCATCAATTGTGGCTAAACGTCCGGTTTGCCTCCAGCTTGGATCGAAACCCGGCTGAACTGGCTTTAGTCAGAGATTCTACCGCTCAGCTTTTCGCGCACGGCAGGGATGGAGGTGAATTTAAGAGTACTTATTTTTAGATAAACACAGTGACTGAGAGAACTCGATTCGCTTTGCCGAAGAGTATATATATATATATATATATATATATATATAAGGTATAAGATTTTAAGGTATGCTATATTTATAGGTTAAAATGCTCAATATCAGGGATAGAGCGTATGTAAATATAAAAGTGGACATTAAATTCAACACCCTGGCCTGACGATTGCGTTTAGCATGAAACAGACTGTCGCCTTTGGAAAGTGCCGTGTGTGTTAAATTGGCTTGATGGAACTACACGGTTGGTGTGTGTGTGTGTGTGTGTGTGTGTGTGTGTGTGTGAGAGAGAGAGAGAGAGAGAGAACCTATTTGAGCATGTTCGTGTTTGTATGCCGCAGAAGGTCATGCTGGCGCAAAATTACAAGTCATCGTGACCGAGTGTTTGAGCGTACTAGCGTTGTTCAAACTGCTGATCCTGAAAGATGATGCATTCTCGAAGGTCCGCTCAGCCTAGTTATGGTAATACCCCCGCCCCCAAAGGTGGGCTCTGTGGGTGTTGAACAAATACAAATGCAACAGTGATTGACTAGCCGTCCTCACAGACGGGTGTCCTCGGAAAAACGGGGTCATTATATACATTTATATAGATAGATAGATGTTTACATTTTTATAATGAAAAAAATATACCATGCACTTGTCTATAAATCATTTAACTTCTCTTTGCCTCTCACACTGTTTTCTCTCTCTCTCTCTCTTTATATATATATATATATATATATATATATATATGTGTGTGTGTGTGTGTGTGTGTGTGTGTGTGAGTGTGAGTGTGACTTTTTCTTTTTACCATCGCTATTAAAAAGGAGTAAATGCTCAAAAAGTAATAACCGTGTACCCGCGGTGTCGTCATCGGCTGTTGACAATTGAACGGTGTGGTGAAGGCTCTTACAAGAGGGACGACATCCGGTAGCGATTGAAGAGGACCGCCCAGGAAGATGTCCCCTCTTTCCTCTTTAAACAGGTTTCGTACCTTCCATTTTGTCATCTTTTTTCTGCCGCTGTTGTTATAGGTTTTCTTTTTTTTATTAACATTTTTTTTTCTTCATCCGTTTGCCTTGTTGTGAAGAAAAAGGTGAATAGCAACCTTTTTATTACTTCTCATTACTCTTCGTTTATTTCTCGTTTCAACTTTATTTCTCACACACCATGGCAGACAAAACATCGTAAAGTATTGCACCCTTTGCTACGTCTTTTCTTCTTCTTCCTCCTCCTCCTCCTCCTCTTTCCTCCTCTTCTCTTATTCATCCTCCTCCTTCTTCATTTACTCCCCAACACCTCCTCCTCCTTCCTGTCTTTCACGTTCTTCCTTGGCCTCCCCCTCCTCCTCTTCCTCCTTCTCTTTCATTTCCTTTCCTTCATTTCCTCTCTTTATATAAATTTTGGCTTATGGCCCTATCACGTTGAAACACCGGTTCCCGTGCGATCACGGAAGTTAAGCGAAGTTGAACCTAGTTAATACCTAGATGGGTGACCGTTTGGGAATACCAGGTGCTGTAAGCTTGGATATCCAGGGGTGGGGTGTAATGAGTAATGACTCGGAATTGTAAATCGAAGAGCCGTGTTCCAATTCCAATCGAGTTCGTGATATTCACCTCGGCGCAAATACCACTGGAAAAATATGAAACCACTCCTTTCGCCTGGGTTAATTAGTTGTACTTGTGTCAGTAAATCATTATTATATCCAAAAATTCTTACATTATAAAATATTTTCTGGCTTTAAATAACATGCAAGAAAATGATAAGCCGTAAAAAAGAAATCACTTAATCACTCTTTTATATTTTTTCTCCTTCATTTTTATCATCTTTTTCTTTTTTCGTCGTTTTTACTCTTCGTCTCGCTTCCAAATGTTTTTTTTTATTATTTTGCATTATTCTACCCTATATCTTCTTCTCAGAACGACATCTCATTTTTAATTGTATAATCAGTGACGAGCAGATGATATATGCTAAGTTTACCGCTAATTTAATGTTCCCTCGGTAAGGCAGTCAATCAATGAGATAATACAACATCATTCCTCAATGAAAATAAAACTACTATGTGTTCATTGGTCAGAATGAAAACTGCTGCAACATAGCATATGATCTTTATTTTATACAACAACAGTTTTTCCTATATTTCTGAGTTGAAGTATTGTAATTATTTACACTTTTTACATCGTTCGGACTGTTGTCCTCATTTTTTTTAATCATATTCACAACGTTTCGGTCGTTGTATGCTCCGGCCTTCATCAGGATATGTTTATATTTTTGAGATGAGGTGTTGTAACTATTTACATTATTTACATCGTTCGGACTGTTGTCCTGATCTTTATTGTCATATTCACGACGTTTCAGTCGTTGTATGCTCTCTCTCTCTCTCTCTCTCTCTCTCTCTCTCTCTCTCTCTCGTAGAGCTGCACGTGTAGTTTCCCTGGTAGAAAAAGGCAATGCAGGTTTGATTCTGGCGTGGAGGCATAATTTTCTATTGTAAGTTTTCTAAATCTAATAACTTCACTGATTGAAAAACTAAAAACAACATGGGCATGTTTGTTTTTTTACATTGCAACCCAATCAATAATGACCAGATATTGATTTGTATGCCAGCTGTTGCGTAAAAGGCTTCTCATAGTCTACTAACCCACTACGCCTCTGTTTTCACCTTGCCTTCAATTTCTCCTGTGTGAGTCAAATACTCTGAGCCCTCTTTTCACATTATGTGCTCCAGAAATTTCAACTCTTTATTCACATATCCCATGTGAAACATAAAGCGCATATTAAGAAAATAGTGAATTCTTATAATTAGAAATATAATTTACTAGCAGCCCTACCAAGCTGGTCGATCACAAAAAGCGTTCAATTAGAATGGAGCAAAAACAGCATCATGTTCAGATGTAACAGAGTCTATCTTTTTCAATTACTTTAAAGTACTTTCATTAAAAACATTTTGAATTAATGTAGTTACTGATATAGCAGAAATAGTCTGTATTTATTCAATTGAAGTTAGCAGAGGACATGAAGGGGTAAAACAGGCAACATGAAGACCCACTTCAGACCACATTTATTTTGGAGTTTTTGAAATTCAATTTCTCAGTGTGCTAACAGGCTTGTAAAAAAGGATACATTTATAAAGAAATTGTTAAGTTTGATGAAAACTGGTTGAAAGATCAACGAAAAATAAGAAAGAAACCAGTAAAAATCACCATTTTTCGCTATTTACGCGGGTTTTCACTATATGTGTGGACTTAATTATGAAGTTAAATGACTGTTATACTATCAACTTATTGTAAGCTAATAAATACTGTATTAGATTGCTTGAAAATTGAGGGACTTTTTAGTTTAAAATTTGTGTTGAAATCGATTTGTGTTGAAATCGATTTTTCGTTTTTCGCAGTGCCGTAGAAATAAAAAATGAGGTATCGTTGAGCGCGTCATGATGTAAGTAACCTACATATCGAGTTTGAGCGAAATTGAAGGAAAAAAGTTGAATTTATCGATTTTTCCATCTGCTTTATCGATTATTGATTTTTTTAATTATCGATTATGTCTTTCGTTGTACAATGTTTGGTAAAAATTGGTTGGATGGATCTCAAGCGAAAAGGTATCACACAGACAGACAGACAAATAGAAATACATCCTCTGTTTTATATATAGAGATAGTTATATGTTATTTAATTATTAAGGAAAGTAAAAAATAATCACTTAAAATCTTATTTAGACGTGTATCAAGTATCTGTTTAATATTATTTTTAGATTATTATCCCAGTTCGAAAAGGGGCATATTAATACGAGAGCGTGGTTTCTGGATATTAACCTCCATTTTGATTTTTTTTTTCTCAGTTTTCTCAAGGTCGAGATATTTTGGTTTCAATCTATTGTCTGTTCAAACAACGATACGAACATTTTTGACAGACCTTCTTCTTGTTTATGATGACTATATCTGGTATTTGAGGACGGACTAGATGCTCCGCTTACAATTCTAAGCTTTAGAAGGATTTTTATTTTTATTACTCATTGTCGCCACTAAAAATTCATTATATTATAATCAAACATATTTCTGTCGTAAAAAAAAAACATAGATTGATTGAAAAACGTAGTTATAGCGAATCAAATATTTATTTAACCCTTTTTTGTCAAATCAACATTCCCTCGATTCAAATCGACAATCTACCAATTAAAGACACACCTGTGTAACCATTAAAATGTTGGGAGGCAAATAGGGAACTTTCTCCAAATGGCTCAAGGTCACATTCAACGAGCAATGGTCTCACGAGCTAAACGTCCTGCTTACCGAATTCAATGAAATAAATTTAATGACACGAGAGATTTATTAAAAATTACACGGTGACGGGCAACACCAAAGGAGGGCAGCTGATTTTTATTAATAAATAAATATGAAAATGCACCCAATGCACTTTCTATGCAGCTTATTTCACAGGTTGTTTTGTGACTTATTCAAACGATTCTTGTTGGCATTGAAGATATGGAAAATGTTTTATGTTTAACTTTCGTAAAAACAACAAAGCAGAGGCTGGATCATTTAGCAAACATAGTTTACGAGACACGGGGTAATTTTCCAATGATATTTTGAAAAGAATAGCAAATAAAAGTCTGAAAAAATATTATAATATATATATATATATATATATATATATATATATATATATATATTATAATATATATATATATATATTATAATATGTGAAATGTATATATATATATATATATATATATATATATATATATATATATATATATATATATATATATATATATATATATATTTTATATTTTATATATATTATTTATATATTATATATGAGAGGTAACATATTTGGAAAGCGCTCAATATCAGTGATAAATAACATATTTAGTTGGATTCATCAATATATATAAATATAATATATATATATATATATATATATATATATATATATTATAATATATATATAGCATTATAATATATATATATATATATATATATATATATATATATATATATATATATATTGTAATAAATTATATATATATATATATTGATTGAAGTGTTCAATACCAGGGATAGAGCGCATGTAAATATAAAATTGAACACTGAAGTCAACATCTAGCAGCAGTAGCCTTTTTCATACTTATACGCAATCGATTACCTGACGATTGCCTATAAGCATGAAACGCCACTATATATATATATATATATATATATATATATATATATATATATGTGTGTGTGTGTGTGTGTGTGTGTGTATTAGGGACAACATAACAATTTTTATATATATATATATATATATATATATATATGAAAATTGAAGTCAACACCCTAAGGTGACAGATTCTTACATGTTAACTGCAATCATCAGGACATGTGCATTGAGTTTTTATTTGATTTTTACATATGCAGGCCAGTGATGCATTGTGGATAGTCTATTAGATTGGTGGGTATTGTTTGCTAATTTGTTTACTTCGTTTATTAACTTATTTATTCGTTTGGATTAATTTATTTTACTAGTTTTTGTTTCTTTCTTTCATTCATTTATTTTCATTTAATCTTTTTAGTTCTTGTTTTTTTAAGTAACGGAGTAAACATTCATTATCCTGTCTGCATTTTGAGAAGGTAAATATAGCTATTTTTTCTTCAGGCCTGAGTGTACAGTTTTTGGATTGATTGTTGTGGACCGATGTTCTTTTCTTTATTTTCCATGATATTTTAAGTGTTTTTTTTTTCTTTTTTTTTTTTTGGTTAGCTTTTAATCCACCAGATATATTTAGAAAGCATTGTACTGTTTGCGTATTTATTATTTGTAAAAGATGTTTTGTGTGCTTAGTTTCTTTGTTTCCAGGTTCCTTCAGTTTCTCCTATGTATATTTTTCTTCGTTATCTGCTGATTTTAAAGTATCTAGGTATATTACATTGTTCTGCCAGCAATTACCATTTAAGGGACATTCATTCTTTATTCTGAGTTTAATAATATCAGGTGGTTTTTTGGTTCTTTTTCTGTTGTGCGTTTTTATTATTTGTGTCATGTTTTCGGTGAAACTGTAGATGAAGTTTTGTGTATGAGTTTAATGAATATTTTTCCTACGTTTTTGTTGTCCGGTGAGTGGAACCATATTATGTTTCTCTACCTGTTGTTGTTTTTTTTTTTAATCTGTGTGGCTTGTATTTGAATGTTACCGGGAATCCACTACCTTTTAGGAATGTTTCATAGTCTTTCTTAGCTTCGTTGAACATGGTTTCACTGGAAGAATTGTCGGAAAGCCAGCGGTTAGTTTATTATGGTATATCTTCATTACTGATGGTGGGTGAATGGAAAATGTGTATATACAAAAGGCTTTATCATTGGGTTTTCTGTATCGTTTATGTAGCTTTTCTTAGGTTGAAGGTGACATACAGAAAATCTACTTTGTTTAGGTTTGTTTTTATGTGTATGTCGAATCCCAAGACAAATTGGGATGGCCAAAGACAAACTCCAAAAATCTAAACAGAATATTATGAGAAAGAAATGTATGGCAGCGAATGCT